TAAACACAAATACGGCTCTTCCAGTTCTTGGGACCGATCGTTGATATAAATGATGAAAAGTAGCGGCCCTAATACTGAACAATGGGGGACGCCACTGCAGGCCGCTGCTCTACCCGACCTTGCCCCCTCCACCTTAACATGGAAGGTTCACCCACGGAGGTATTCGTCGATCCGCCTAACGATGCCGGGGCTGAAGCCAAGTACTTGTATTTTTCGCGCCAGAAGACGATGTTTGACGGAGTCGAATGCTTTCTGAAAGTCAAGGTAGTACACTTTGTCTCCATGTCCTCTATCTATTCTGGCCATAATTTCGTCAAGAAATGCTAGTAGGTTCATCAAACACGACTTCCCCTTAACAGAACCATGTTGCTTGCCCGATAGAAAATCGTGGTTTACTAGGTGCTACACCATCCTATCCCCTAATATTATTTCCATTATCCTTAGTGAGACCGGTGTGAGGCTATGTATAGGGACTACTTCAGCCACCTTCCAGTCTTCCGGCACAGTTGCACTCTCAAGTGACAGACTGAATAATCTCGCAAGCGGATCACTCAAAACGATAGCTAGAGTCTTCATAATCGCCCGGTGGATGCCTTTCGTCCCTGCAGACTTATGCCCCTGCAATCCCCTCAGCACGAGCTTTATTACCTCCGGGTGAAAGAGTGGCTCTGCCATCACCGGAACCCGGGCAGTTTGGAGCACTGGTGTAGATCCTCCATCCGCGTGATGCACTTTCTCAAAGAACATTTTTTCAGGATCTCAGCTTTCTCTATGTCACCCCCAGCATGCTGCCCGTTTTCGTCTCTCACAGCCTACTGCTGACCTCAGGGCAACCTTCAACTGGACGTAGTTGTAGTACGCCTTCGGGCATGTGTTGGCCTTAAGTGCGAGACACTATTCACGCCTCAACTGACATGCTCGTTAAACCCTCAGCGCGGCTTCAGCAGCCCTTCTGTATTGTAAAAGCCTTATATGGCCTTCTGTCCCTCTAAAACGTGCCCATGCAGCATACTTCCTTCGTTGGGCCTTGCCCACTTCACTCGTCCACCACGGGGGTCTTCCTTGCCTTCGAATTTTCCATAATAGAGCAAATTCTTGCGTAAGTTCAGTAAGGTTGCCCCTTATAGCTCCCCACAGTTCCACAACTGTGTTTATGCTTCCTCCCCAGCTTAAGGTGCCGGCTCTATCTAGCAACCTTTGAATTTTCATTCTTTTAAAGGACCGTCGTGTCTTATCCGGTGGGTTGTCTGGCGCAGATGGTACATCGAAGCGTATTACTACGTGGTCTCTGAGACCAATTGGAGCTCTCAGTACCAGGTTCCTTACATCATTTGGGCACTTGGTTATTACTAATTCAAGCAGTCCTAAGGTGCATCCGAACTTCCATCTTGTGGGCTGTAGCACATGCTGAATTAGGTCTCGCTCCCGTAGAAACGCAATCAGGCGATCCCCCGAAAGATGTTGGAGGAGCCCATTCGTCCTGTCAGTTTACTTCTGGTGCGTTAAAGTCCCCCATTATTACTATCTTATCCGGTGCCTCGCCTACGGTTTCCAGTAGATCTGCCAGCGCAGCGTCTTCCTCCACGCTCGTTGGTGGGATTCTGTATACGCAAACGACCCACCCGCTTCCATTGTTGACTTTGCACGAGACAGCTTGGTTACAGGGAGATTCCAGCCCGCTGCTCGAGGTATTTTGCCACTAGCAGTAGGACTCCCCCTCGTATTCTCCCATCTCCTCTGTCAGTTCCATAGGGACAAAAGTCTTCCAAAATGTACGTGCTGATACTCTCTTCTGGCTTCAGCCATGTCTCTTTTATGGCCATGCACTGGAAACCCAAGGTCTCTACTTTTAGCTCCGCCCATTTGTTACTAATGCTGCACGCATTGGTGAGGAGCACTTCAAAATTGCTTTTAGCATGCAGTTTCATGTTTACCCTAGGGCACTGGTGGCTTGTGTCACCATCTGGGATCTGCTTGATTTTGATCTTTCCCCGTTTACTTCGGTGCTCTCCCCCTAGTAACCCTGACGCCTATTACAGACCTTTCTCCTATGTTCCTCCCGGGTCGGTTCTCTTTGGCCGACTGGTCTCTGGGTTGTCTAGTTTTCGGCCCGAGTGTTTGTTCGTTCCCTGTACCTTTACTGGAAGTCCCTCGGGTCTCTCCCCCGAGGGCTGAGTCCGTTCATTGGGACCTCAGAAGTGATGGTTGGCGGATAGTTTGTCTTGGTGCTTGCCGCCTCTCTTAGTGGCATTATGCTTGTTATCGGAGATGAGGTGATCATCCTCAACATCGAACTTAATAGGTTTCTGAAGCTACGCTTAGCAATACTGGCATACGTTTCTCGAGGGGTCGCGTCGGTAGTCTGCGTGAGCTTGCCTTGCACTTTTTCGATCACTTACCTTGATGAATTCCACTGGCCAGCTAGAGATGTCCCCCTCGAAGAGGATACGTTTCTAAATTCTTCCTTCCCCATAGTTAAGCGATCGGGTTCAATTATGACCAAACCAGAAGTCGCCATCTTCACTCTCTCTGACGCTGTCAGGAAAGCGTCTCGATATTTCAGGTTCCCGAACTCAACCAGCACCGGTCTTGCCGCCCCCTGGCTATTGTCCGTTCTTCCGGCCCATCTATCTTGTTTAAATACTCTATTGAAACAGTGTGGCCGGGGATATTTGCTGTCTGCAGCAAGCTGGTGACAGAGTGTCCGAGTTCCCTTTCCCTCTGTTTGGGTTTACACACAGAGGCTCAGTAATAACCTTAATTACTATGTTCCGTTGTTTATCCAGTGCTATCTCACTTCTGGCCTCAAGATTGAGCATAGCCGTCCCGAGCCGATTAACCTTCTGCAGGAAGGACTCCAAGTGCCCCTCTTGTTGCCTGGTCTTAAAATTTAGCTCTTCTATTTTCTTTTTCAGTGAGTCAATCCTACCGATGTTCTTGCTGGATTTTTTGTAGGTACTAAATCCTCCGTATCGGTTTATCACCGTCGTGTCCTTTCGCCCAGAATCTGAGCTAATGCATGTGGTGTAAGTTGTAGTACTCGGCTGTCTTGCAGGCATCACGGGTATCTTAATGCATCCCGTGCACACCCACTTGAGCACTTTGTATTCTGTTTAATGTCAACCCTTTCTTTTTTAGGCAACTGCAAGCCTGATGGTACCACTTCGCACAGCTTTAGCAACAGATGCCTTCCTCGACATCAGTTAAACAACTTGCAGGACCGCATGGGTATTCCGTGTACTGCGATGAACTCGTCCCTAAGCCCAGACTTTTTGCAGCACTACTCCTGGTTGTCGGTATATCGGTGGTGTAACTTCTTAGAATGCGACCACCCATGCAGAGATCAATTAACAGAAAGATACAGAAAAATACCACAACAACTAAAGATAGTGACTACCAAAAGCACTAAAAGGCTACAGCAACACCAGTTATGTTCAAAAGATTCCTAAGGAGTTAGAGAAATGAAAGCGGAGTGTGAGATAAGGAATTTATGTAAAGAGGGGGACGGAGA